CTCTCTCTCTCACTTCCTCTCTCACACACTTTCTCGCTCCCCCTCCCCCCCCCCCCCCCCCCCCCTGCAGACAGACGCAGAGAAGCACCTGCACATTGACCGCAATTCGCTGTGGTCCGGCGATGATGTGAAGAGGTCGGATGGCGGTTCGGATAGCGGAGTGAAGATGGAGTCTGGTGGTAAATGGAGGAAGAATCCCTCAGACATCTCAGACGAGTCCGATAAAAGCACATCTGGGCGGAAGAACACGGTCATCTCACAGACTGGGTCCTGGCGGAGGGGAATGACGGCACAGGTGGGGATAACATCCCCTCGGACCAAAACATCTGGGACTCTGAAGACACCTGGGACAGGTGAGAGATGGTCCAGGTCTATGGGTCCTTAATAGGTTTGTGGAGGGACAATCGCCCTTCTATGGGTCCTTAATAGGTTTGTGGAGGGGCAATCACCCTTCTATGGGTCCTTAATAGGTTTGTGGAGGGGCAATCACCCTTCTATGGGTCCTTTATAGGTTTGTGGGGGGACAATGGTCCTTCTATGGGTCCTTTATAGGTTTGTGGAGGTGCAATGGCCCTTCTATGGGTCCATTATAGGTTTGTGGAGGGGCAATGGTCCTTCTATGGGTCCTTTATAGGTTTGTGGAGGGACAATTGTCCTTCTATGGGTCCTTTATAGGTTTGTGGGGGGACAATGGTCCTTCTATGGGTCCTTTATAGGTTTGTGGAGGGACAATCGCCCTTCTATGGGTCCTTTATAGGTTTGTGGAGGGACAATCGCCCTTCTATGGGTCCTTTATAGGTTTGTGGAGGGACAATCGCCCTTCTATGGGTCCTTTATAGGTTTGTGGAGGGACAATCGCCCTTCTATGGGTCCTTTATAGGTTTGTGGAGGGACAATCGCCCTTCTATGGGTCCTTTATAGGTTTGTGGAGGGACAATCGCCCTTCTATGGGTCCTTTATAGGTTTGTGGAGGGACAATCGCCCTTCTATGGGTCCTTTATAGGTTTGTGGAGGGACAATCGCCCTTCTATGGGTCCTTTATAGGTTTGTGGAGGGACAATCGCCCTTCTATGGGTCCTTTATAGGTTTGTGGAGGGACAATCGCCCTTCTATGGGTCCTTTATAGGTTTGTGGAGGGACAATCGCCCTTCTATGGGTCCTTTATAGGTTTGTGGAGGGACAATCGCCCTTCTATGGGTCCTTTATAGGTTTGTGGAGGGACAATCGCCCTTCTATGGGTCCTTTATAGGTTTGTGGAGGGACAATCGCCCTTCTATGGGTCCTTTATAGGTTTGTGGAGGGACAATCGCCCTTCTATGGGTCCTTTATAGGTTTGTGGAGGGACAATCGCCCTTCTATGGGTCCTTTATAGGTTTGTGGAGGGACAATCGCCCTTCTATGGGTCCTTTATAGGTTTGTGGAGGGACAATCGCCCTTCTATGGGTCCTTTATAGGTTTGTGGAGGGACAATCGCCCTTCTATGGGTCCTTTATAGGTTTGTGGAGGGACAATCGCCCTTCTATGGGTCCTTTATAGGTTTGTGGAGGGACAATCGCCCTTCTATGGGTCCTTTATAGGTTTGTGGAGGGACAATCGCCCTTCTATGGGTCCTTTACAGGTTTGTGGAGGGACAATCACCCTTCTATGGGTCCTTTATAGGTTTGTGGAGGTGCAATCACCCTTCTATGGGTCCTTTTATAGGTTTGTGGAGGGACAATGGTCCTTCTATGGGTCCTTAATAGGTTTGTGGAGGGACAATCGCCCTTCTATGGGTCCTTTACAGGTTTGTGGAGGGACAATCATCCTTCTATGGGTCCTTTACAGGTTTGTGGAGGGACAATCGCCCTTCTATGGGTCCATTATAGGTTTGTGGAGGGACAATCGCCCTTCTTGCCCATAACGAACTCTAAGATTTCCTTCTCTCTTTGAATTTATAGGGAAAACCGATGATGCAAAGGTATCTGAGAAAGGTCGGCTTTCTCCAAAGTCCGCTCAGGTAAAGCGTTCCCCGTCTGACGCAGGCCGCAGCAGTGGAGATGACACCAAGAAACCTCCGAGCAATACCTCAAGGTCCATCCCAAACACCAACACATTTGGCTTTAAGAAGCAGGGAAGCACAGTCGTCGGCATGCCCATTATAACCACCAGTGGCGCCACCATCACCAGCGGCTCCGCTACGTTGGGAAAAATGCCAAAATCCGCCGGATTCATCGGCAGGTCGGCGAACCGCAAGGCCAGCGTAGACGGCTCGCATAACCATGAAGACAGCTACTTGCAGCTCAGTGCTAGGTCCAACCTCCAGTACCGCAGCTTACCCAGGCCCAGCAAATCCCGGAGCGGCGCTGGGAACCGATCGAGCACCAGCAGCATCGACTCCAACATCAGCAGCAAGTCAGCCGGACTGCCCGTTCCCAAAATGCGGGAGACCAGCAAAGTGACCTTCGCAAACTCGATTCCGGGATTGATAAACCAGACCGACCGCGAGAAAGGGATCTCCTCGGACAATGAGAGCGTGGCATCGTGCAACTCTGTGAAACTGAACCCAGCGTCGCAAGGAGCGCCCGGGGGTGCCCGCCAGCCAGGAAACAAGTACCCCGATGTATCTTCACCCACATTACGCAGGTATGGCGCTGCATGCACAGTTTATAGCAGGCTTATGGGAACCATAATCTATTGTTCATTGAGGCGGCACCGGAGGGAGCAGAGCCGCATAAGCCGATGCTTCCTCTATAGCGCCGGCTCCTGTCACAGGCGGAGTGATACCAAATGCACTCCGCCTGTGAGGAATCCATAGTGAAAGCGCGTTTCGCTCATTCTGGCCAGCGATTGGTTACCATATTACTCTTGGAAAAGTACGGCACCCCCGATTTCCCTGATCACCATATTTTTGTACAAGAATAAGTGTGGATTGTTGTACATAAAAAAAAAAAAAAAAAGGCCTACCCCGAAAATAAGACCGAGTGTGGTTTTTTTAGCCCAAAAAAATATAAGACAGTGTCCTATTATCGGGGAAACACGTTAGATCCCTTATAACCATTATGGGAAACAAAGTGCTATTCCTATAAGTGTGTAATTTGATGAAAGTCTCATGTGGTGACAGGTTCTCTTTAACATCCTAATCCTGATTTCCCCCCCTTTTCCAGGCTCTTTGGAGGGAAGCCCAATAAGCCCGGCCCGGTCACGACTTCGGAGAACATGAAGAACTCGGTGATCATTTCCAACCCCCACGCCACCATGAGCGCCTCCTCCCACCCGGACTCGCCGTCCGGTAGCGGCGTTCCGAGCAGCGGAGGCAGCAGCCCCCTGTATGGGAAGGGCATGGACCTGAACCCGTCTCCCCTGGCCTCCAGCCCCGGCTCGGCCTATTCCGCGCCCTCCAACAGCCTGACCTGGGGCACCAACGCCAGCAGCTCCTCCGCCGTCAGTAAAGACGGTTTGGGGTTTCAGTCCATCAGCAGCCTCCACACCAGCTGCGAATCCATCGACGTCTCCCTCAGCAGCAATAACTCTCCCGGGCCTCTGACCGCCTCCCCCCGCGACGACTCCATGTCCGGATTTGCGAGGACGAATAGCGTGAAGACCGCCATGTCAGAGAGGTGAGCGGCCGCTACTTTTTATTCCACGTTGGTGGGCGACAGCGTACTTCAAAGCTGAACTCCGGTCAGATATGTTTTATAATGCAGCTAGTATGAATACCTGAATTCGCCTGCACCGCAGCACTCAGACCGGGAGAGAGGGGGCGGGGTAGCACGTGGGGGCCAATCAGCTGTGTCCCATGCCAATATGCTCACAGGAGGATCGAGCAGAGGGATGACTCTTATCAGTCTGTTGCTGCTCCTTAATTGCACAGGCCGGGGGCGGGGAAGTTACCTGACTGTACTGCTTAACAGTAGAGAAAAGTCAGGTCAGCAGGCTGGCATTTGCTGTGTAACGGAGCTGAGTATATCTGATGACTGGATGGACAGAAATACATATCTTTTGGCGGGTTAAAGCCGCTCCTTATAACTACATTATTTACCCGTTTGCCTGGAGTCACAGGAGCTCTAAACCTTGAATTGAGATGTTCTGTTATGTAAATGCCCGCAGGTCTATCCAGGAATCAAGATATTTGATGTGTTAGAAGAGGTGTAGGCAAACGTCGGCCCTCTAGCTGTGGTAAAACTGCAAATCCCATCATGCCTCTGCCCCTGGAGCCATACCTGTGGCTGCAAGAGTCTTGCAATGCCTCATGGGACTTGTAGTTCCACAGCAGCTGGAGGTTCATAGTTTGGTTCCCCCTGCTTTAGAACCTTGCTGTGCAGCCTGTTGACCTTTAGGCCTCATTCACATGAGAATCGGCCGGCATGTACAGCTCCGTGCTGCGTGCAGGGCCGTATCGGGCAGCTCCCGGGAAGGACAGGCGATGCGCGTGATTAGTACGCAGCCCCCGTCCTTCCCTATGGGAATACACGGCCGAACGCCACCCTACGCTCCCCCCTCCCTGCACGTCCGTGCGGGTGTCTGCGTCCAAGCCAGGACACCCGCTCCCGTACGGACCTGCACTTGGGGTGAGCGTAGGGCGACGTACTCCCATAGGGAAGGACAGGGGCTGCGTACTGATCACACGCAGCACATGTCCTTCCCGATACGGCCGTGCACGCAGCACTGAGCTGTACCTGCCGGCCTTTTCTCGTGTGAATGAGGCCCTATAAGTCGCATATTAGGAAACATAATGGCAGGTCCCTTTAATTGGGATTACTGGACAGGAAGTTGGTTGTGTGCCGGACAATATCATCCGCACATAAGCACTTCATTTCATATACCATCTGTACTGATAACCACATCACACCTCGGTGTACCCATCCATGATCAAAGCTCCTCCTCTACATGAAGCATTTTATCAATCATATCTCCTAATAGTGGCCCCGGTTGGTCACGGTGGTGTTTTGGGGGCCACGTGCGGCTCTCTCCAGCTTTGTGTCCCTCAACCAGGTTGAGAATTCAGATTGAACACGACCTCAACGGTTCTCAAAGGACCCGAAATGGCTGGAGGAGATCAGACAAACACAGGGAGGCGTATAGACCGGGGGTCTATATAGAGTGAGGGAAAGTCCTTCCAATGCATGGCGGACCTCCATCAGTAGAAGGAACACCTTATGTTAAAGAGAACCATTCATAGCCCATAGAAGGTCGGCTTTTTTACCCCCTGCACCCAACACAAGTGGCTTCAAAATGCCATTGGTAAGCAAGCCATTTACCCACGGCCTCAGGTGCCTACGCGGGGGGCATGGATGACTTGGCTGTGCCTACCAGAAGAGCTGGAAGCTTGAAAGCCCGGGAGAATGATCTACAAGCCCATTCCAAGACTGACTTCTCATGGGATGTCAAGCTCTCAGCTCTGCTGGGCGGCATAATGATGTCACCTATACCTCCCGACATAATGATGTTACCTGTAGCTCCCGGCATAATGATGTCACCTGTACCTCCCGACATAATGATGTCACCTATACCTCCCGGCATAATGATGTCACCTATACCTCCCGGCATAATGATGTCACCTATACCTCCCGGCATAATGATGTCACATATTACTCCCGGGGAGCTGGTATAAAAGTTGACTT